ACATATAGATAAGGAAAAACAAAGTGCATCAATGCTTTGTAACTTCTCTTGATAAAAAACCTTGTCAGAGTGGTACGTTCGGTACCAAAAGGTGAAACTCCCTATACTAACCAAGATAGATCAACAAAAATCTGTTTTGGTGGATAAAAGTTTTTTGTTTGTTTTTGTTGTCGAGTAGTGTTGCAAACCTCGGCTCAAACAACTTTTTGAGCACAATTTGCTATGCGATGATTTTTATTGATTCGAAAGGAAATATTTGGTTTTGTTAGTTTACTCTATTTTGTACATTGAGACATATTTGTGCATTGTAAACACACACTGAAGAGTCCGAAATTGTTTTGCAAATGTCCAAAATAGTTATAAAAACGTTCTTTTTTTTTTGATGCTTTTTTCGCTGAAAAATCGATCTTCGAAAGTTGAAGATTATAAATATTTATAAATCAATGCATTTCGGACTCATCAATGATTATAAATGAAAATTAATAAACACTGTATTTTTATTGAAAATATTATTTCTCTTATTATCTCATATATGTAATTTTATGTATTTCGTGTTTTAGAATATGAAACGATCATATCAATGAACGATATCGAAAGAATGGATGAAGACGAGGAATATTGGGAAAGGGATGAAGATCAGTTAGAAACGGCAATGGATGATGAGACGTGGGAAAACCAAAGTACATTTGATCAAGTTGAAAAATTTAAAGTTGAAATGGAAAATGATATAAAAAATGGCATTAAAAACGATGTTAGTTTGTATAGAATAAAACAATTGATATTAGAGAAATTAAATGCAAATTCATTTAATAGCGTCGATGAAAATTATATTAATCATAAATATGTGAAATATTGTCTTCAATCATGGAAGACTGAACAATTACCATCAATATTGAATGAGATAAAAGAAAAAAAAGATATGGAAAAATTAATTGACAATGTATCAAAAGTAAAAACAATTCAAGATGTATTGAAATTATATCCGAAATCAAAATTATGAAAAATTCATGAAATTCATAAATTTACTAATAAAGATGAAATTAAATCAATTTTGTATATACAACAATTTTTAATTGGACAAATTTCATTAAGTGATTTTAGTAAATATTTTGATGAAAATTTTATATTAATACAATTAATTCCACAGGGTAAACTAACAATTGAGAAAAGAATGTTTATTGATCAGATTCTCAATAAACTCAAATGTGCATTTAAAAAATTTGTAGAAACAAATGAAACAAAATTAATTACTTCAAGTGTTCAACAAATTAAAAAGATAATTGATTATGGTTTAACATCAGTAAAATGTGAAACTCGTGAAATTGAAAAACGAAATATTCTTATAGTAAAAGGAGTTTATATTTCATTGAATTATATATTGACAACATTGGAAGAAAAATTAAAAAATTCAGTTGAAGTTTGGTTAACGGCATCAGAAAATTTGTTTATTGATTGTGATTTAAAAAATCAAATATGGCGTTGAAAAAATATGGCAATTTGTGCAAAACAAATAATTATTATAGACAAGAGAATAATTGATGTTTCAAGATTAAATGGTCAACCAGAAAATAAGCCATCAAAAGCAGAAAATGGTAAACAATATGGAACTGAATCGGATAAAAATGGAAAACATGGTCAAAATGGTATGAAAGGTGAAAGTGGAGGAAATATAACAATCATATGCGAAACAGTTGAAAATGGACATAATTTAGAAATAAAAACAAATGGTGGAAATGGAAGTTATGGACAAGATGGTGGTGATGGTGTAGATGGTGAAAAAGGTGCAGATGGTCATGGATTAGACATGGGAGAATTTAAAAGAACTTTTCCACCAGCAGCAGCATTTGGCGCTACACAATCAATGGAAAACGTAAAAAAAATTATCGCTTATTTAGAAGAAAATGCAACAATTATAAAAAGTAAAAAATGGGGAAACACTTTGGGGAGGCATGGACTAGCATGCTACTACATTGAAGCTGAAACAGCACAAGGAAATCTTATTTCTTTTTCATATTATTGGGGAATATTTACAAAACAAGCTTATTGTTTCTATAGAGGAACATCTGGTGAACCAGGAACACCTGGTGGTTTTGGTGGACTCGGTGGATATGCAGGTGAGTACAACGGAATTGATACCAATGGGTGCCACCGTTGGTGTTTTTATTCAATGTTAGCCCTGTTGCCAGCTGATGTTTTTTGTGGATATTACGGAGTATTTCGTGTGTGCAGTTGGTTAGCTGTAAAAGCATTTGACTTAATTCTAGTTTAAATAGAATACATGACTTTTAAAAATATTGAATTTTCGTTTTATATGCAGGTGAACCGGGATTGGCAGGTGACATTAAAATTTTAACAAAACCAGACGTAAAAGCAAACATTAAAACAAGCGCTATTGATGGAAGTCGAAGTTCTGATGGACAAAAAGGTCGAGATGGAAATTTTGGTAAATCTGGTGAAAATAAACCTGATGTTGGTTACATTGATTGTCAAACGTGGAAAGAGCCCGTGTATTACGGGCCTAATTGGTATAAATTATCAATTTATGCAAGTAGTGATACGTACAGAATCCGAAGTTCAGAATATGAAAGTATAACAGAATATGTACAAATTGAATTAAGATCAGCACCAGAACCACCGGCATGTTTATCGATAAATGAAGCAGAAAAACATAGACATAATAATACGAAAACAAGAAAACAAGAAGCAACAAGAAAACATGCAATTTCAAATGAATTATTAACACAAATTTATAATGATCATCAAAGACAATTTGCAACAAGTTCGGTTGAAAGTTTACAAGTTAATGTTAATTTATTTCGAGAACAAATATCATGTATTCAATCTGAAGAAACACAAATTCAAATAGAAAATATTTGTATTACAAAATCCCTTATTGATGAAAAACATTATAAATTAAATAAATTGTCAACAAAAAAAGTTAAATTGAAAAACAAATCATCGTTGTTATCATCATCAAATTCATTAAATATTATTGAAGAATTATTAGAAAAATTAAAAATATATTACAAAGACAAAAGTGAAGTTTTACAAACACACATGATTATTTTGGAAATGAACGAAATATTAAAATCGAATAGATACAATTTTGAAGATATGTTAAAAATTTCTTTATCAATTGAAAAAATTTTCAATGAATCAAAATTAGATAATTTAAAATCATTGTTTAAAGATCCAAAAATAGATAATGAATTTGATAATTTAAAATCATTTGTGATTGAAAAATTAAAATTATTATTTTTAAAAAATATTGTTGCAAAATATATTGATGATAATGAAAATTATGATAGAAAAATAATTGACGAATTTATTGAAGAAGAAACACATCGTGGTGGTGGTGATTCAGCGATACACGCTGTATTGGGTATTAAAAATGAATTTGGTATTTATGAAAATATTAATTGTGAAAAAATACGAAAAGAAATTCAAAAAAATTTTATTAAAATTGTAAAAACAAATGATGATTTATCAAAATCGATACATCGATCAATGTTAAATTTAATTAAAAAATCTCGTGAGAAAACAAAATATCCAGAAATAAAAAAATATGTTGATAATTTTAAAAAAGTATTAAATTCAACAACAATAAAAGATAATTGTTCTTGTAAAGATGAAAATGTTCTTATTGAATATAGAAATTATATTTGTCAAAATTCTCAATCGTTTCACGTAAATGATATTGGATTATTGGCTTATCATGGAAATATTTGTTTAAATGTTCATGTACCATCAGCGAATGATAAAGATGAAATTTTATTAAATTTATGTGTTACATACAATAAAAATTCAACAAATATTGAACATGTTTGCTATATTGACAATCGATTTATTAAATTATCAACAAGAAAAATTGAAAATAAAGATGCAAAATGTGCTCATTATAAACAAATATTGAATGATATTGAGAAAATAAAAACAACGGAAGAATTAGTCAAATATTGTGATGAAAAATGTTATGCACGATTTCGTGAAAATGAAAATGAAATTTTTCAAGAAAATAATTATGATGATGAAAAACAAATAATTGATGAAATCTGTAATTATTTTTATGATGAAAAAACAAGAGATAATGTAAGATTAGAATTGACAATGATTGCATCGGAATTAATAGAAAATTTTCAAATAATAAAACGATTAAAAAAACGTTTTGATATTGAAAATTTTCAAATTAAAGATGAAATAATTACTTTATTATCAATGGAAATTTTAAATTCAAA